AGAATCTAAAAAGTATCCAATACAACAAACCATCAGACATGGAGAGTTTCGACTTCTGTCCCGTACGCCGCCCTAGGCTCAAGAGGAAAGACTTATAACGCCTGCATGCGTCGGATAGTGTGTCTATGTAAGTCCTTCAAATGGAAGAACCAATATTTTTGCCTGCTTCTATTAATGCTTACCAATGCTTGTAAATTTACATATTGGAGTGCTATAGTCTTCCCAGTCACATTTGACAGTCGGATAGTGTGTCTATGTAAGTCCTTCAAATGGAAAAACTAATATTTTTGTCTGCTTCTATCAATGCTTACCAATGCTTGTAAATTTACATACTGGAGTGCTATAGTTTTCCCAGTCACATTTGACAGTCGGATAGTGTGTCTATGTAAGTCCTTCAAATGGAAAAACCAATATTTTTGTCTGCTTCTATCAATGCTTACCAATGCTTGTAAATTTACATACTGGAGTGCTATAGTCTTCCCAGTCACATTTGACAGTCGGATAGTGTGTCTATGTAAGTCCTTCAAATGGAAGAACCAATATTTTTACCTGCTTCTATCAATGCTTACCAATGCTTGTAAAATTACATATTGGAGTGCTATAGTCTTCCCAGTCAAATTTGACAGTGGATTGGTGAGTCCTGTGAGAAGAACACCCCCAGTTTCATAAACTGGCGTTCCTTTTAAAGGGTTTTCCTCCTCTGTTTGAGGGAATGTTCTATTTTAGCATTTAAAAAAGAAAAAGAAAATATGTTTCCTAGCAGTATATCTTTACTTGCTACAACCATATGCCTTTTCCCTCCTAATGGCAGTTTGTAGTCATGTTAATGAACTGACTCACTGAAACATTATATTCGTTAAGGTAATTGGTATAAATATGAATAGATCAAAATTTCCATGATGTTCAGATGTCGAGGTAACGGGGAGGCTGATAGATTAGGGGCTGCCGATCCTCAGGACGGTAATCTACTTTATGATAAAGCTGACGTGGTGACGGCTCTCTGGGATCAAGTTGACAGTACAATAGAATAGTCAGAAAATCCAGACACTGAAAGGCTAATTAAAAGGGGAGAAAGGGTACGTGGGGTGTGAGTAGAGGTTATCCAAGATGAGAAAGATAGGTAGATGTTTAATCAGGTTGCAACAAGTACTATAAGCATGTCGACTTCGCTAGCTACTGAAGAAAGGGACCAAACACGTGTGGAAATGTCGGAAGTGACCTGAAATTCTAGGAACACGTAACGTTAGTCTCCCCACACCCCGCCCAAATACACACTAGCTCACTTGTGATTGGTAGTTCATGAACCTGTCACCTTGGCTCAAGGTTACGGGGGTGTTCCGCAATGCCGCTGATATAGATGTTGTAAATTTCAGCTGTCGTGGAATGATAAGCCATTACGCATAGGTCCATAAGGCTAGTAACCTAACTTACCTGTAAATCTTCACAAAATTCAAACTTGGACTCGTCTGGAAAGATATAGTCCCTTATATCTATATATATAGGTCTTTATTGGACAACATTATTATGTCTGCTTTTTCTGGTTGCTATAACTAAACTCCACTTTTAAATGTATATATCTTTGATATATATTAGAGGAGTTATTTGAGGTTTCTTAGAAACCGATGCACTCCTCGCCCATGTATACTAGGGACTTCTTTTTTTACCAACGCCTGAAGCGTCTAAGTGACGCCATTCTCTTTGCCAGCTTCCTGGCGTCCAGACGTGTCAATTGATGCCTGTATAATTTCAATTTCATAAGGCAATCTGGAATGTATCAGACTTTTCATATGCTTGGGTAAGTTAATTATAGTTTACGAGTACCTAAAATGATGTCTGTTAAAGTAGTCACTGCTGTAGAGAGATCAGTATCGGCTGTGGGATCACACATAATTCGACCGTTCTTCATCGCTAGAGAAGCGGATTCGAACGTAGACCTTCCCCTGTACAGACTAAATAGCCTTTGACCTCAATAACCCACGCATACTGGTAAAACTAATACCCTTATAAGTGTGTACGTTTTAAACTAACTGTGGAAGTTTGTGCATACAAAATGGGGACAGAATTAGGTCAGGACTTTGTCGACCAGTGTATGAGTGTTGTTGGCCCAGATCAATGAATGGTAAGACGGGCTTTTGGGGAGTGTAAGGAATAAATGTACTGACGGTGGATATTGGTGTCTGTGTGCAGGGGGGAGGGGAGAGGGAGAGTGATATATGTGTTAGAACACTCTATCTATCTCCATTGTATATCTGACTTGCCTTCTCTTGCACTAAACAGACAGATGAATATAAGAGACTTGTGTCTCTTGGTCTGGAGAGGCATTCTGAGGAATGAAACAGGAGAGCAGGGTGGAGTAAGCAGATGGGGGATGATGACTGATGCTTGTTCTGTCTTTCCTGTCAAGATGTTACCCTCTTCGTGATGACTAATTCTGAGTTATTTCTTGACAGGATGTATCCTTTGTGAGGAGCTGGCAGAAGTTTCACAGTCCAACCAACACCCACCAACCATAACCCATCAATCAATGAACCCATTACCTACCACTTATCACCCAACTACCAAGTGTGGAGATTGATGTCAGTTTGAGGTGCCATATACCCCAAACTTCCTACAGTGCCAGAACATGTGTGTAGCTAATGGACAGTGCTGCTAATGACTAGTGGGAGCCAATTGCTGTGTAATTATCCAGTTGCGGTGTCCTTTATGGTGAAGTACTCCTCCACCAGCTGATCCAGTTGAGGCAGAGTCACCAAAGACAGTCGAATCATCAGGAGCTGAGGGAAGCATCATAGACGGAAAGAGGATAAGTTTAGTTTGATGCCTTACTTGCAATATTCCTCACAGCTCACATGTTTCCCAATGATGACAATGTGTCATCTCCAGGACCTTCTGTCTGTGTAATTTTGGTGATCTGGACATTGTATCCTGGAATCCAGCTATAGAAATCTGACATCTACTTCACTATTTTCTATTTTGTACATGTTGTAATGATTACATGCATTCATTTTCATGGCTGACTTAGGTTTCTCTATTTCACCTTTTTAAATGTGTAGCATTTGTGTGTGCATGAATCTTAACTATATGTGTTAACATGGTTATGATAATGACTTATTAAAACCTGGGGGCTTTCTTTAGTAAGTAGTGGGGGTGTCCAGCCAAGTGTGCCTAGGAATATGGTATTCATATACTGATATATTTTATAGTGCCAATACTTGAGTTGCCCTACTCCAGAGATAAGTTGAGCGTATATTGGCCACGGGGAATCCCTTAGACCAATACGAGCCAAACGACTCAACATAATTATCTCTGAGTGCTGTTGGTTCTGAAGGAGAAATCCTTACATTAGGCACGCGACAGGAGCGATATGTGACATCAGCACGCCAGCGCTTTTAACACTCCAAAAACAAAGAAACTGGCCCTAACACAACCGCCCTCCCCCGTACAGAGTGCTGACACCTATGTCACAGGTATTCTCTTTCTCTGAATGAAAACGTAAATGCAATACAACGCAGAAAGCAAACAACAGAGCGGGACACACCCGTAACTTTCAGAAAAGTCGACCAGCCCTAAAAACTTGTGAATGAAAAGTGACCTACTCTTTTGGGGAAGATTGACGTTACATTAACCAAATTCAGTAACATGTAAATAACAGCAAGCTGATCGGTAGCTGTCTATGTAAACAAATCTGTTTCGGTGTACAATCACTGTATGGGGCAAACAATGAGCACACAGGGAGTTGTGGGCTTTCTCTTCTTCTTCTTCTTCTTCTTCTTCTTCTTCTTCTTCTTCTTCTTCTTCTTCTTCTTCTTCTTCTTCTTCTTCTACTACTACTACTACTACTTTTTCTTCTTCTTCTTTTCCTCCTCTTTTAAAAAATAAAACCTGATCACATTCTGGCCTCCACGTAAAAGACTCAGAAAACGGTAGTAGTTTCAGGTTCACAATATACCAATAATATTGATGCTTTTTGATATCATATTTGTGTTCTGGGATTGTTTCCAGGAGACAGAGTTGCCGTAGAGCCTGGTGTCCCGTGCCGAGTTTGCGAGTTTTGTAAAATCGGAAGATACAACCTGTGCGGTGAAGTAAGGTTTTGTGCCACGCCCCCTGACGATGGAACACTGGCTCGCTACTTTGTTCATGATGCCGACTTCTGCTTCAAGTCAGTAACATGGTTACTGTGTATTTGTAACTGTTCGTTGAGCATACAAATACCAGAAATTGTGTTTATATGTATAGTATCAATCGCCTTACCAACTTGCGTGGGCGATCATGCCTCTCTACAATCGGCGATCCGCGTGTATCAGCTGCTGTGTTGACACCCCTCTGTGCCATGACAGAAGACTGTCATGAATCTTCTAGCGCTGTCTTCCCATTTCTCTCTTTCCACAGACCTTTCCAGTGGTCACATGTTCTATTTTCCCTTCTCTCATAGCATAATCTTAAAATGACGACTGTCTTTTTCTGATGTTCGCGATAAGTTGTCTTCGAGCACTCGCCTCTATAAAAAAATCTGGGTTGCTCTTTTTATCTGTCTAGGGAATTATAAGGGTTCTTCTCTAAAACCATATCTCTGAGGTCTCAAGATATTAATTTTCGGCTTGTTTATTATTGTCCAGGGTTCACTGGCGTATGTCAAAATTGGCTCTCTATAGCTTGCGAAAAAGTTTTTGCAACCTTCAATGACATGGATATATTGCAGAATTTTTTTTTTCATTTTATATAAGGAATTATTGGCCTATCCTATTGTGTTCTTTATCACTGTGATACATCTTCCATCGGAGGTTATCCATGTGTCTGGAAAATTAGATTTCTGTACTTGTCCTAAAATTATGTCTTTGGCTTGTATTATATATTTATGCACTATTCTTTTCTTGAAAATCCTTATTTCTTTCGTGTGTTTGTATGTGTTTGTGTGTGTGTGTGTGTGTGCGCGCGCAAGAGTCTTTTTTAGAAAAGAATTGTGCCAGTACTTATCCTACAGTGTTAAAAAAAAAGTGCCGGTACTCACGACAAAGGGTCTATTAAAAATAATAATTGTTGTCCCAGAAAAGATTCAAGGAGAAAATTGTCATAAATTTTAAAAGCACATTTTACTTTCGAAGGGTTGTTCAAAGAAAAAAATCAAGGAGAAAAATTTCCATAAATTTTAAAAGCTCATTTTACTTTCGAAGGGTTGTCCTAGAAAATATCTATTAGGAAATAGTCACTTTAGTCAATGACCCCATTTTAAAAGGAAAGGGGAGAGAGAGAGAGAGAGAGAGAGAGAGAGAGAGAGAGAGAGAGAGAGAGAGAGAGAGAGAGAGAGAGAGAGAGAGAGAGCAGAGAGAGAGAGAGAGAGCAAGAGAGAGAGAGAGAGAGAGAGAGCAAGAGAGAGATGGAGAGAGAGAGAGAGAACCGACCCACGGCATCCTAACAAGCATTTCGTGAAAGACTTCCAATTAAGGATTTGCTGAAATCGAATGCGTTGGACTGAAAGGCGCTGTCCATCTATAAACCACAACACAGCGAGCCAACAGTAATTTTGAGAAGAAAACGCAGAACATTCCTGACTGGACAGTGCAAATATTGGTCTCAAAGCTCATGCCCTACACACATCAATGGCATGAAAGATACTTTACTATTATTTGTTTTTCTCTATAACTGTGTATGTTTTTATGCAATCATGCATATATGTATATGGTCTTTTTCTTTTAATTCACCCCATCTTGGTGACTGCGAGATTCCGTTGTGTTTCCGGGAAAGTCCAATAGTATAGGGTGTTAGGGTATGAAATGAACATCGATTAAGACTAGCTCTAACCTTAACCCCCCCCCCCCCCCCCCACATAATATAGGACTGTACCGGGAACTCGCCACCAAATCTCGGAGTCACCTAGATGGGGTGAACAAAAAGAAAAGAACCATGTATAGTATTTCACGCACTTTATTTTCTCTGTTCGACTGTAGGCTTCCTGATCACGTGACATTTGAAGAGGGCGCCCTGCTAGAGCCGTTATCAGTGGCCGTACATGCAACAAACAGGGCCGGTGTTGGACTAGGGCAGACGGTGTTGATTTGTGGGGCAGGTTCGTTGCTCGAGTGCTTCAAGTTCTCGCTATCTTATCCACAACCCTTAGACTTGTCTATCATCTGTTTGTAGAATGTCAGGGTCATATCAACCATGGCTAGCTGTCCATGTATCAGCACTGCTTGCCTGTTTAATTTCTTCAGTGACATTGTCATTGATATTATCTCCCCTGTGGGCTCCAGGGCACCATTAATGATGGGCGGGGGGGGGGGGGGGGACAAGTAACACTGGTCTCCCCACGCCCCTCCCATATACACACTAGCTCACTTCTGAATGGTAGTTCTTGAACCTGTCTTCTTGACACAATACCGTTGATATCGCGTGTTGTATTTTTCAGCACGACAGCGCTTTTAACACTCCTAAAACATGGAGAAACTGGTCCTAGCACAAACCTCTTAGAGAGTGCTGCAACCTATGTCACAGGCATTCTCGTTCTCATAATGAAAATGTAAATGCAAGACATCACAGAAAGCAAACAATAGACACACCCGTAACCTTCAGGAAAGTCGACCAGCCCAACAAACTTGTGAATGAATAGCGACCTACTTTTTTTGGGGGGATTAACATGAACCTTACCACACACACACAAAACGAATAGATCCATTGCCCCCAACAAGCATGTCGTAAAAGTCAAGAAAGGTGATGTTTAGGTTGTAATTTGAAATTATCTTGCTAATAAAGAACCTAATAAATAGTTGTTTCTCTTTTTCTTGCAATGTAACGATTTATAGTCATTGACAAAGCATATTATTTGTAATAATTACTTAATATTGCAATTTCTTCCAGACAATATTTTTTGTTTTCTCCCTCTCGCCTGCTACTTAGTGAATTGATCATCCCTACGGTTGCTGAAATCGCATCCTCGATAAAAATCTAACAGGATAAAACCCATTAACCTCGTCCAGCCTCAAAGTTATAGATAAGGCACACGTTGCTGTTACACTAGGTGTGGTATACCCTATACTGGTAATGGATCCCACAGGATAAAACAAATAAACCGCGCTCGGCCTCCAAGACAGTAATTAGTAAGGCACACTTGGCTGTTACACCAAGTTTTGTAAAGTGGTCACGCCGCTTACCTCGCGCTCTGAAAGTCGTGGGTTCGCTTCACGGCTGCGCAGTTCAGTTCACGAGTGAAATTTTGACAGAAATCCACGGGGATCGTCGCCGGAGCTACGGAGTCCTTGTGTCTGTTTCACAAAGTGGTGTACTCTGTACTGATAATGAATGTTCAAGATCTCTATATTTTAACGCATTCGTTAGGAACGAGTTAATATAATTTAGAACCAGTTATTATAATGTAGAACGAGTTATTGTAATGTAGAACCAGTTATTGTAATGTAGAACAAGTTATTGTAATGTAGAACGAGTTATTGTAATGTAGAACGAGTTATTGTAATGTAGAACGAGTTATTGTAATGTAGAACGAGTTTTTGTAATGTAGAACGAGTTATTGTAATGTAGAACGAGTTATTGTAATGTAGAACGAGTTTTTGTAATGTAGAACGAGTTATTGTAATGTACTGTTGATGTGAAGAATGAGAGTGTTCACATCTGTGAGCGGTGAGAAGGTAGGTCAGTGTTCTTCACACTTTTTATTCCATGGACCGGTAAACGGGGGAAGTAAGTAAGTAAAGGACCCTTTTCCACGCCTTTGGCTGCTTTTACTTCCCTGGACTGCACCCAGTACCCACTCAAGGCTGGTTTGATCTGGGAGCCAACGTCTTTTTTTTTTTTTTTTTTTTTTGAAAAAAAGTCCGGCTCCGCCAAGGAGTGAACCCACGACCTTCCGATCCGCGGTGAGCGTCTAGCCGCTCCGCCACGGCGACTCCCCACACAGGGAAAGGGCGGGGAAAATGTATTCGTGGACCACATGATACTTAAGCGAACCCCCCCCCCCCCCCCCCCCCCATCCCAAAAAAATGTATCCCAAAATTTGCATCTGTTGTTTGTTGTTTGTTTTAGATTGCCTTTATTTGTTAAATCCGACCTAACATAATTACAGTGCTCAGCTACATTTGCAGCTGTTTAAAATGTTGAATGTTGAATTCAGATAGCAGTTAATTTGCTTAATCTGACCTAATAAAATTACACTGTTCGGCAAAAGCAACATTTGCATCTGTTCAAAAAGTTTAGTGTTGAATTAGGAATCGACATTACAGCACCCAGGACACTCCCATAATCGATCCGCCGCCCTTTTAGCAGCGAGCGAAGAGTTCCAGTTCCGATGGCACCAGTAACTGTTTGATTGTATATCCGTCTCGCCTTTCCCTTGAGTGTTGAGCGTCGGCCAGATCCTTTGGTAACTCCTCGCAGCGCCATTCTCCTCAGACAGTAATGATCCATCCGTGCCTCCGCATTGTTTACTCGCTTCCACAGGGCCTTCACAACATCTAGCTTGTCATACATTTATTCACCACTAAGTCGTGCAGAACCGGCTAGTCTATCTGCATGCTCATTGCAGATGTTGGGAAAGCTAATTTATGTGGCGCATAGATATACTCACTCCCTCTGCAGTATGTAGTGATGGAACTGTGTAACCGATACATAGCTTTTTTTTAATTTTGTGGCGGCCAACGATGACATTTCCGCTATCTACCAGTGGTCCGCGTACCATCGGTCGAAGAACACTGTAGTGAACCATTTTCTCCTCGAAAAATTATGTCCCAGACGGAATGACGTCAGCTTATAAATATGAATGGGATATTTGAGTGTAACAAGCACAGCCACGTGAGTCACAGACATAATACTGGCCAAATGAAACCTGTGTAAATCATGGAAAAAATGTTGGCCAAATGAAACCCATGTGAATCGGAAAACACGAAAAAGTCGTAATTGTAATGTGGGCGTTAGAAGGTTATATAATGCCTTAGAACGAGCATGTGGGCAGTCTCGTTTGGGCCAAGAAATGGAGTGTATAAACAACGGAGGAGTGTTTGTGGATCCAGAATGTGTGTGAGTATAAATGTCGCTTCAAACGCCCTACCTGGCCAAACAGCAACAATGGACGGGATTAAGAGTAAGCGGCGCTAGGTAATTAAAAAAAATTAATAATAATAAATGGCACTCAATTTAAAAGATGCGTGACGGGAAAAAAAAAGTAGATTTGGCCAAATAATTTAGAAAATGGCGACGTATTATTTAACTGAATGTCGCAAAAGGCAGTACTGAAATGTTATATCGAACATGTCTTCTATGCGGCAGTGCATCTTGGAATGTAAACGAGCAAATTTTAACACACCAAAAAAAAAAAAAACTGGATGGAACTTGATGGCAACGGAAATAATATTTCAGAAATTGAGATTGCTAATATATTGGGCAACCAGAATAAGTGACAATGAAAGATGTAAACCGGAACGGTGACAATGATTGCACGGAAGCGGCTTATTAAACTTACATACTCCACTTAAATAAGCCAGTTGTTTTTTTTTTCAAAAATGACCTTGACTTCCAGGTCGACAAAACTTTAAGTGGGTGCCTGGTGCAGTCTCAAGAATTAAAGGCGGCTGGCGAGATGCTGACCACATCAGCCATCTTGTACCGATCGGCCTATAAAATATAGGTCTAGCCCTACATATTCTATACGCCTAAAGGGGTGGAAAAGGACGTTCACTTTACTGACTCCACTTAAATATAAGAAAGAGACGGACAACAGGGCCACAACAGTGAGAAGAGACACACTAGAAACATAACATCATTGCTAAAAGAAGCAAGGTTATACCAAGATGTGCCACAGACAAGGATCAAATTATTAAGTTAATCATTAACTATTACATAATGTAGAACGTGTATATTTGTCATATTTACTTTTTTGATTATCAGAATGTGTTAAAAATTATTTCCTGTTACTCTTGAATTGTCTTGAAGCTTTAAACTGTGGAACCTGTTATATTAGCGATGTTTCTATTTGTATATTTAATTTTTTGATTATCAAAATATGTTAAAAATTATTTCCTGTTACTCTTGAATTATCTTGAAGCTTGAAACTGTGGAACCTGTTATTTTAGCGATGTTTCTATTTGTATATTTACTTTTCCTTCGTCAAGAGGAAATTGCCATAGTCTAATTTTACTTAAATATCTCCTCAGGTCCCATTGGCCTTGTGCATATTTTAACATGCAAGGCAAGAGGTGCTTCTGTGGTCTGTGTTACAGGTTGGTACAGCTCAGTTGATTTTTTTTTTCCCTCACGTGAACGAATTAACCATTCTCCCTTTATTTCCTATGGGAAAATTTATTTTGTATACGTCTTGCTTGGTATACGTCCTGTCTGGTATACGTCCTTTTTTGTATACGTCTTATCTGGTATGCGTCTTATTTGGTATACGTCATATTTGGTATACGTCCTGTTTGGTATACGTCCTTTTGGTATACGTCCTGTTTGATTTACATCTTGTTTGGTATACGTCGAAGGATCAGGAATTGATTAGGTACGCATGCCGAGGTACCACTGTTCCTCTCTCGACACCAGTAGTTGTCGAAGGTAAAGTAAAGAAAAAGCAGAAGATAACATTTTAAAAGTACAAATAGGAGATATGAAACAAAGAGTTTATAAATGTTAACTATCTAATATAACTATCCCTCCATTAATTTGAGTTAGTTGCATTTCCCTTAATGTACGTCGCAAACAAACCCAAACACGTTATTATGTGTCTGTTCGCACTAGGCGTATGTACATTATGTAGTTTGTCTTTGGTTTATGAACGGTTCGACGCTCATACCATTGTAATAATTAACGCAAAGTGGTGTGCTGTCAAATCGCCTGTATTTGAAACAAACCAGTGTGCCGTAATTATGAAGCCCCTAAGCTACAGAAAATCTGCTCGTTTACATCCCATAAACGACCTCGAGTGCTAACTGTTCGGTCTTTCAAAGAGTTAGCTGCGTATTCTTTACAGGACGTTGCAGAACCAACCCCAGCATTTTTTGGCTGTTGTGGTTTTTCTAGTCAAATTTACGTCTAGTAGTTTGCTTCCTAGCGTAAAGGCTATAAATTGTACAGGCTTGTTATTCTTTAACTGTCGAATGAAAGTTTTCTGAGTGCCTGGTAAATTCTCGTGTTTGTTTCATATGAGCTATTGAGATTCCAGATATTGTTGCTATCACTGCCCTCCGTCACACTGTGTGTGTGTGGGGAGGGGGGGATTTAAGGTAAAGTTTGAAGACATCTGGTCTAAAATTGTGCCTCTGCGTTTATCTTACATTCCCACGTGTTAACTGTTAATTCTTTTCTTTAAAATATGTTTGAATGCCGCTTGCAGATATTGACCCAGCTAGGCTGAAGGTGGCCAAACAAATCGGAGCTGACCATGTGGTGACAGTGACCGGCAAAGATTCACTGGCTACAGCACAAGCTGTTGAAGAAGCAATGGGAGACAAAGTTGACATCAGCATGGAGTGTAGTGGAGCAGAAGCTAGCATTCAGGCAGCAATTTATGTGAGTATGTGTCGTAAGAAAGGGTCCCGTAGTGTGAGTGGTTCTCAGCTAAGACCCTTTAAAACAGTTCCTCAGCGATGTTCATTTTGTCTTTAAGAAACATTCATAATGCCGCGACCCTTTCAAACAGCCGCGAGTTCCTCATTTTTAGCGAAAACAGTTCCTCATTTTGTAGCGACCCTTTAAAACAGTTCCTATTGTGTGGCGACCCCCAACCATACAGTTATTTTCGTCGCTACTTCATAACTTCGTCAGCTCTGTGGCTAAGTCGATGCGAACGCTTCGCTTCGTAATGCCGGGATGCTAGGTTCGATCCCAGCTGCGGGCAATGCGCCTTGCGTTGGTTTCGACAGTGGTATCAAGAAAGCCGACCGTCCAGAGAGCAATGACAAACTACTGGATGTAAATTGCCTAGAGAAACCACACAACAGTCAGGGGCTGTTAGGGTTGGTCCTCAACGTCCTGTAAAGGATACGCAACTAACTAACTTCATAACTTCAATGAATATTTGTTTTGCGATGGTCTTTGGCAACCCCTGTGAAAATACAAGTTCAACGGGACATGGAAGGTTCTAGAACAGCGGTTGTCAACCTGAAAGATGACAGATGAAAAAAAAAATAAGAAGAGAGAATAGCCTTATTAATAGAAAAAAAAATTAGAAATAAGAAAAAGTGTGTGTGTGTGTGTTTTTGTGGAAGAGAAAAATAATGAGAAGAAAAGGAGGATGAGGAAGAGGAGAAGGAGAAAGTGCATTTTTCTTCCTCCAGCTACTAATGTTAATGCTGCTCCGACTAACTGACATTCAACCCCACCAGGACCAACACCCGCTGACACAAGGTGTCACCATTCGGATGTGCATCACCCTTTCACGCCCCAGAAACCCCGCTCAGCCGTTGGGTTATGTTTAGAGTCCCCGACAACAGCTGGTGGAGGCCTTTAAAATTACAAAATTGTATCCCATATTGGGACGGAGTTATTAGTGTGTACAGCTGTTCCTGTTGCTATTGCTCCTACCAATTACTGCCACCATTACTAATGAGAGTAATATTAATAATGAATCATCATCATTTGCCCTGCCAACTGGCGTAGGCGCTCATGAGTCTCCACAGATCACGATCCCTGGTTGATTGGAACAGCTTTCTTTATGATATCCCTCCATGCCATCGTTTTAGCCCATCCAGCATCATCTCTCTTGGTCTGCCTGTACCCCTCTTTTCCCACTGATCTTTCCAGTTGTCACGATGTTCTCCGATGTCTCTCTTCCCATTATGTGGCCAAAGAACAGTGTTTGTCTCTTTCTTATTGTTGTGTATAGAGAGCTACTTTAATTAGCCTCTTTCAAGCAACCGTTGTAAGTTACTCCAAGGTATTCGTAACATTCGTCTCAGAAACCACATCTTTGTAGCTCCCAAATTCTTCTTAATTTGTTCAGTGACATTCCAAGATTAACTGCCATACAACAGAACAGATTCAATGTAACATTTTAGTACCCTCTTTTAACAATACAATTTTTAAAATTAAACGTGTGTGAATACACAAGGTTTAAAACTTAACGTGTGTGAATATACAAGGTTTAAAACTTAACGTTTGTGAATACACAAGGTTTAAAACTTAACGTTGTGAATACACAAAGTTTAAAACCTAACGGGTGTGAATACACAAGGTTTAAAACCTACCGTGTGTGAATATACAAGGTTTAAAACTTATCGTGTGTGAATATACAAGGTTTAAAACTTAACGTGTGTGAATACACAAGGTTTCAAAATATAATGTGTGTGAATTTCCAGGCTACTAAATCTGGAGGCACTGTTGTATTGGTTGGTCTCGGTCATGAGACGGCACGGTTGCCGATTGTGAACGCGTCTGTAAGAGAAGTGGATATCAAGGGCACCATCAGATATGCTAACTGGTGAGACTTGGTTATAACAATTTGTCTTTTGGTAAGAGGTTGTGGTTATAGTTACTATTGGTCAAAATGCAAAACTCAAGTCAAAAGCGACGAGAATCAAATACTTGTAATCCCTTGTGTGCCCCTAATGTATCAGTATTCGTTACGGGTTTTAGTTAGTTAGTCAGTCAGTCAGTCAGTCAGTCAGTTAGTTAGTCAGTTAGTCAGTTAGTTAGTTAGTTAGTTAGTTAGTTAGTTAGTTAGTTAGTTAGTTAGTTAGTTAGTTAGTTAGTTAGTTAGTTAGTTAGTTAGTTAGTTAGTTAGTTAGTTAGTTAGTTAGTTAGTTAGTTAGTTAGTTAGTTAGTTAGTTAGTTAGTTAGTTAGTTTCGTTAGCCTTTTCCCTCGTCTTGGGCGGCGCATCGGGTAGAGGTCGTAGCTCTCTGTGTCTAGCGGTTCGTTGCCACCTGTTGTAAGTCCTGTGTGTTCATAAGGTCCGTGTTTCGGGCTTTCCCAGTTGATGATTCTACAGTCTATTTTAGTTTTCCCCGTTTTTTTTTCCCCCCTTCAGTGTCCACATGAGGGCTTGATAGGGAAGTCTTGTCTTATCTATTGTGAAGGCACTGGCCAAAGCACTTTCATCGGCACTTTCCTATAAAATTAGATACATTATCTTGCTCTATCTCTATTGGATCTTAAATCTGTCCAGTGGAAAATTTAGTGTTCTTCTGTACTAAACACGAAGCCTAATGGGGATGTCGCCTAAAGGAAGGGGAGAGACTCAATGGAGGATAAGGTAAATATACTCCATGAACCTGTCTCTACTCCAAGCTTTAGAGAGCTCCGGCAAGAAATGTCGTGGTGAGTGGAAGCTGAACCCTAAACCCAAGCTGCTTTAGTAACAAACAAAGGGGTTCGCAAGGAGGGAACTAAAACCTATTGTGTCTTCGCCCTCGCAAGATATGTTCTGTGTGAAGTCTTACTTAGCATTCACAATATAACTAGGCACACTAACTACAAGTTCTGTCCAATCAAACAAATGAAACTAACCATTAAATTGAACTTCTGTTTATTTTCCAGAACACAAAACTAACATAGTTCACAGATAACAATACATTAAAGATCAACATCTTGTTCACACAGACCATGTGCTAAGTACTTCAGCTAACAAGGAAAATGTTCCAGCGACCTGAACTAATAAAATCTCCGAGCGATGATACATATTGCTATATACATCTAACACGATATAACTACTGGAAGCAATTTAGATCTAGCACCGTCCAACCATTGAAACGTACTAACGCCGTGAAATCAGTTAGCCACTCCATCTCTCTCGGCTCAGTCCGCCGCAACTACGAGCATTAGACCATGTGATATTACGCACTGATCTGTCCACATCCGGCTTTAACTTTTAATTTATAGCCTAAAGATGGCCGTGGATCTGTCAACCGACCAGAGCGACGAGCCGAAAACATAGTCTCCATCGGGTCTGGGTCTTTTTATCACCTCCAAGCTTGCCAATTTTTAGTTCGCGAGTGCAGCCAAAACCAAAACTAACAGCTTTTTACAACCTGTCACACTTCTTAGACATCTGTTTTCAAAATTGTAATTTTTTTTTTTAATTGAGCTTCCGTTGCTTTCCAACTCTCGCATCCATAACTCAGCACTGGGATCATACAACAGTTGAAGGTCTTAAGTTTTGTGTGCTTGCTGAATGTCTTTAACTTCGTTATTTGACAGTTTTTTTTTAAAACATTAGATGCTAGTGCGATTCTAGATGATATTTCTGGCGCTGAATCCCCTATGGATGACATCTATGTATCTACAGGTATAACCTTAGTATATACTACAAATACGTTATTCATATTCTTAAATCCAATGCATGGTAAGTTAGTCGTCAACTTTATGCAGACTCTTATTTCGTGTGTTACCAGTCATTTTCTTCCAGGTGTTTTTCCATGCAAGATGTGTTACAGTCTTACTCTCTCTCTCTCCTTCACTCTCTCTCTCTCTCTCTCTCTCTCTCTCTCTCTCTCTCTCTCTCTCTCTCTCTCTCTCTCTCTCTCTCTCTCTCTCAGTGTCTCTTTCTGCCTTCTTGTGTCTCTAGTTGCATCAACGTATTCGCTTGTCCCAATTTGCTCCTCTCACGGAAAGTTAATAGAATCTGGATTCACATCTGCTAAGTGTAATAGAAATACCGTAAACTTGTCCTTGCATTCAGGAGTATTGGGTATATACTGCTAGACCTATACTTTACCGACTTGATGGGGTGATGTGGTCAATATCACGCCGGTCGCCTTTGCTTCCCGTACTTTACCTGTTAGCCATTTTAAGCCTGGGTCGATCTGAAGGCCAAAGTTGGGGGTTTTCTTTTTTTACGTGCGGCTCCTTGCCCCCTTTTAAAATGTTAGGGGGCCCTAGCCTTTAGGCGAATTGCACATATGGTGCTATCCTCACGGTGTACACGCCAATCACTAATTGTTGGGTTATGTGGTTAGCGGACACCGGCCTTCGTTACTTACCATAACATTTCATTACACCCATTTTAGGCCCAGTTGACCTGGGCGCTATATGATTTCAAACTTTGAGCCAGTATTCAACTGTTATAGACCCAGCAATACAACAGCTTCCCCATATGCATACTTTAGCCTATAAGGAGCTTTGAAGACTTTCAACATAAAAGAGTAAAAATGTAAAGATCTTTTTACACGCCATTAGGCGCATCGGGCATATATGTGAAGAGCACCCATATTTTTACAGAGCAATCGGCACTCGGTGGGTAATGTCGTCAGCATTACACCGGCCGTCTTTACTTTCCCAGGACAGCCTATCCTGGTACCAATTTGAGGCTGAGTCGACCTGCGACATCCCATACCACGATAATTATCAGCATAAACAGAACTTTCAACATTTCTAATGAATAAAATAAATATATAAAATAGTTCGTGTTTAACCCTGACAGAAGCTATTAAGACTTTGTGCAACTCATTTGATGAATAAAATAAAGATAAAATACATCCTGTTTCAATGTGACAATTTGACGGAATCTGTGAGGATGTTTTAAAATCATCTTATGAATAAAACAAAGATAAAATATTCGCTGTTTCAATGTGACAATTTGACGGAATCTGTGAGGATGTTTTAAAACCATCTTATGAATAAAACAAAGATAAAATATACGCTGTTTCAATGTGACAGTTTGACGGAAGCTGTGAAGATGTTTTAAACTCATCTTATGAATAAAACAAAGATAAAATATATGCTGTTTCAGTGTGACAGTTTAATGGGATCTGTAAAGATGTTTTTAATTCGTCTTATAAAAAAAACAAAGATCAAATATGCTTTTTTTTTTTGTTTTCAGCTACCCGACTGCCCTGGCTATGGTAGCATCTGGCAAAGTCAATGTAAAACCGTTGGTAACTCACCGGTTCACACTAGAAGAGTCATACAAAGCGTTTGACGTTGCCAAGAAGGGGGAAGGCATCAAAGTCATGATCAGATGTAGTCGCGTTTGAGTTGCTTACATCTCTAACTGCAGAAATAAAGAAAAATCTGTATTTTCTTTTGTTATTTAGTCTTATCTTGAAGTCGCCAACCTAACCGTCCAAAAACCAGAGAATAATGATACTATCAGACAGATTGTATTCATCTAGAAACAGCAGATCAAGGGGTTTGGTCATATGGTTAGAATGCAGCAGCATCAAATACTATCGTCGAAATTACCTCAGAGATTAGCTACAAGATCAAAAAGATGGCCACACAAAAAAAAATAATGGATCGACAACATTAGAGACACTACGCCTTCACCACATGACAATAGCCAGTGCCAACCAGCATTCACTGGTTCATCAATTACTCCTCCGCACGACCACTTAACAGCAGGTAGTTTGTGATGATGTTTGTATCTTTAGCTTTTCGAAAACAAATGCAACTATACAAATCATACATTATGTAAAGTATGAATATATAAAAGTAGACCTGTTAACGATCTGCTCTATGCCATTAGACGCACTGAGTTTGTGGTCCTTATCTTCTTCTTCTGTCGTCTCACTACTACTAGGCTGTAGCCTAGTGTTGTTGGTTTTCTCTATTAGTCTTGCGCTTCAGGGATGGCTTGAGTGATGGATTTGTTCATCTTTTTGCAGGTTTCAGCTACCTCATTTATCCATCGCTTTATTGGTCTGCAGAAAAAAAAAATCGCTTATGTATTTTGACCTGGCTGCATTCTCGCTAAGTCCTGTCATTCTTTATATAATTGAATATTCTTTTTTGTATAGTAGCGTTCGATTACACCACTGCCGGTTTACTAGGCCTGTCGCGTGGCAGGGCAAGGAAAAAACCCAACATGGTTGGTGTCTGTCTCTTCACAAGCGAGCCATCGTCCTATAAGGCTGAACAATTGTACTAACAAAGTATTTTTAATTTATCAGTCGAAACTTGGTAAGTGATGAGTATGTCCTACTTTAGAGTAAAACAGGTCATATGATGAGGCAGTATCTCGTCGTTCGACTTTATTTCTAAAACTGTATGTTGCTGCCATCTTAGAATGGATTAATCTCAAAGCCAATTTTCTTAATTCATCGCTTTATCAAGGGGAGCTTCAAAGTCATTACCGTCTGGCTAGCAGGCAAATATGCTGGGAACTGCGCCACAGCTGCTCCCAACTGTATGCGTTATTTTACTAAAATTTCAAAACCGGAGTTTTCGGGAAATGGAACTATAGAGATCACAAGATAGCTGGTTGACAGACAAGAGAAGTTACCAATAATGTTAAATATGAGTAAGGAGACAATCAAGAGAAAAAAATTCAGAAGCATAATCTTACAGACAATTAATAAACAGAGGAGTTTAGTTATAATGCGTTTTAGAATTCTTTTCATTTTCCATAATTTCTCGGTAATTACTTATCCAAGAAATGATATTTTTCAAGGGTTCCAGTTTTCATTTCGACGTTAATGGTTTATGCACAAATAACATTTAGATTGTCGAGTTGTGTCGAAACACGCGTTTCTTTGTTATTTTCATCACTTCTGTAAGTTTAGTTAGGTAACAAAACAAATTTTACAGTACCGACGTGAATGACACTAATCCTAACACTTACAACATAAATTATCCCTGTACAACTTCTCACAAACTGGAAAACGACCCAGCACATTTTTTTTTGCAGCGCATTTTCAAAATTTCAGCACGAAAGTTAAGGTCTTATTCAGAATTTACTTCAAAACAAATAATTAGAAACACGTGTTTTTGTGAAGTCGATTCTTACATTTAAACATTGTGCTGTATAACTTTTTAAAGGCAACCCAGCAAGAATCATCGTATATTTTTATACCTTGAAAAAGCAAAAATGCATTCTAGTAATTGCTTGTTGGGGGGGGGGGGGGGGTTGGACATGACACAACATTGAGAATTAAGTAAATAATAATATATAATTTCATTCATTCATATTCCACTACAACTGATATATAATTTGTTTGAACATCGTCACCAGTTTGTAAACACCCAATAGTTGCGTATTAATTATAGGTTACATGTCTCTACGAACCAGTCACAGCATTATTTGAGGAGGGAGAGAGGGGTTTACTAGGCCACTCTCATCAAAATGTAGCAGGTCCTTTGCAGAACGTTGGTCTCGTCACAGTCTCCCTGAAAGAATCTCGGTCTCTCGCCAGTTCTTCCGCCTCATGTGCTTTCATACCCAAGGAGTCACTTATATCCTTTGCCCATCTTCTTGTCGGTCGGCCCCTGCCCCTCCTTCCTGGTACCATGCCTTCTGCTATATTTTTTTCCAATCCGTCATGGCGCTTGATATGACCAAAATATTTCAGCTTCCGAGACAGGATGCTGTTTATTAGCCAATCTTCCTTGATGTTTAGATCTTTCAAGATGTCAGTATTTCTCCTCTTCTTTGTCCAAGATATTCTGAGAATCTTTCTATAGCATTCCAGCTCTAAAGCCCCTATTCTCTTTCTTATGGACTTAGAGATAGTCTACGACTCACATCCGTATGTAGCCACAGGGAAGATGCATGCTCTCAAAATTCTAATTTCGATCTCCTTGCTGGTGCTTAACCATAGACTTTTAAGGCTGTTCAATCTTTGCATTGCTATGGCCATCCTCCTTTTAATTTCTGTCAAATAGTCTCCATTGTTGTTCATTATAGAGCCTAGATATTCAAAGTTTGTGACATTTTCAATTTCTTCATCATTTATTGTTATCTTTGGGTGACAGCCGGTTTTATCTGTAGACATTATTTTCGTTTTCTTTAAATTCAGTAAAAGATTTTGATCTTCACTGTGCCTTTGGACAGACAATATTAAATTTTCTTTTCTTTTTACGCTGTTCGGAAGGAGGACTGTTTCATCTGCGTTGCGAAGTTCCGGAATAGGGTTGCCACCAATTTTGAGCGGATCATAACTGTCACAAGTCTGGTCATTTTTGACATTTCTCATTGTATTTTCTGCATACATATTGAATTGGTATGGTGAGAGAATGCACCTCTGCCTCACCCCCTTTTGCACCTCGAACCAATCTGATGTTTCACCAGCTGCTCTTATAGCTGCTTGTTGTTCATGACAAAGATTTTCAAATGCACTAAATGCGCTGGAAACCCCATACTTCTCATAACAGTATACAGTTTGTGGCATTGGACACAATCAAATGCCTTGCTATAATCAATAAAACAAGCATGAAGATCTACTTTGTATTCTCTGCATTTTTCAAAAATTATTTTCATTTAAAGATGTGATCCCTAGTTCTTCTACCCTGTCTGAAACCTGTTGTGCTTCATGTAGCTAATATTTTATTTTCCTTTCAATCCTTTTCATTATAATTCGTAAGAGGATTTTGCTAGCCTGACTTATTAATGCGATGGTACGGTAGTTGGAGTATAGTTTCAGATTTCCTTTCTTTGGGAGAGGGATATGAATTGTTCTTTTCCACGCTTTAGGCCAAATGCCAATGTTCCAGATCTTCGAGCACAGTGCATGGTAGATTCGGACGCTGGCCTCTCCTCCTGTTTTAATTAGTTTTGCTGGTATTTCGTCGCAACCTGGTGACTTTCCTTTCTTCAGGCTGTGTATTGCTGATCGTACCTCATCCCGTAAAGGCTCTGGTTCTTTTTCATAACTATCCCTAGTTGTTTTTGAATTACTTGTCACATCCTCATACATTTCTCTACAGTATTCTTTTCCATCTTCCTAATATGTCTTTGGCTTCCAAGGCCACTTTACGTTCAGTAATTTGTCACTGCTCACTAACAAGGTAATATTATGCCTAATTGCCTGCAGCTAAACTAAGACGGATATTTCACAATTAAAAAAAATCGCCTTCGCAATCCCTTGGCCACTGGGGCCGACATGAGAGAGGGTCATCATCATGTGCCCAGCCAACTGGCGTAGGCGCTCATGATCCACTAGATCACGATCCCTGGTTGACTGGAATAGCTCTCTTGATGAATACCTCGATGCCATCGTTTCAGCCTATCTAAGCATCATCTCTCTTGGTCTTCCTCTACCCCTTTTTCCACTGATCTTTCCAGTTGTCACGATGTTCTCCCATGTTTCTTTTCTTATTATGTTGCCAAAGAACAGTGTTTGTCTCTTTCTTATTGTTGTGTATAGGGATCTACTTTAATTAGCTTCTTTCAAGCAATCGTTGTTAGTTACTCTGGCCGTCCAAGGTATTCATAACATTCGTCTCAGAAATCACCTTTCTGTTGCTTCTAAATTCTTCTTAATTTGTTCACTGTCATTCCAAGATTCGCTACCATACAGCAGAACAGGTTCTATGTAACATTTTAGCACTCTTTTTAGCTACCCGAGAGAGAGAGTAGCGCTCATAAAAACCGTCATATATGACAACTATTTAAAGTAATTCCCATTTGTGCATTAAACAGAACGACTTTCGTCCATTAGGTAAACACCCAGGATAATCTTAACACATGGCACACTTAACCAAGCATAGAGGCCTCACGAAAATCTATACACAGACCAGAATTTAGAACTAACTGTGATCAGCCCCCTGAACATTCCAGTTTCTCAGATGTGTATGCTGAACATTTTGATCAGTAATATATATCATCAGGGGTCATTTAATAATGTAACACAAAAATCAAATCGGGTTGCCCGCTTAGACAGAATGCCTCGTGACGCCATGCTATTCAATGCATAGACTATACGAGGATAAGGATGTAAAACACAAGGTAGACCAAGCTCAATATGGAAAAAAAAAAACATCAAAGATACTTTACAACAGCCGGCCAGAAGAGCACGAAGCAGAACCTCGACACCCGAGGAGGTAAAAGAGTAACAATGAGAAGAATATAATAATACACGCCTATCTTATATCTGCCAGAATGCTTAACCTTACAACTAGATATCGTTTTTAAGTTAATTTGTTTCCAGGTTCAGAAAGATGTAATACATTGTTCAAACGTTAATTAATATTGATTAATCGTTTGTTGCGCATCGTGTTATTTTTGTTGCTGTTTTTAGATTTCGCAATGCTAGTCTTTTTTTTTAGAGGCCAATAAATAAAAGTTTACTGTACTCATAATTCAAAACTGTTATTTCAGTATATGACTGTACTGTAATACAGTATAACCATTTCTAGATCTATATTTATAAAACAATAGGCACTCGGTGGGTGATTTGATCAACATCACACCGGCCACCTTTACTTCATGTGACTTTACCTGATACCCATTTAAGAGCAGGTTAAGCATGTAATAGTGATGTGGATGAAATGGTTGATGAAACCTAACTATATTTCTAGGCGCTATTTTGTCACAGTGCACAATGGTTGTGGGGATGGGGGTGGGGGGGGGGGTGGAGGGGGGGGTGTGTACAATGACGGATGTACACTGAATCAAGTTGTAGGGATGGGGTCGGACTGGTGTGTACAATGAACGGATCTCCGGTACACTGAAATCAAGTTGTAGGGATGGGGGTCGGACTGGTGTGTACAATGAACGGATCTCCGGTACACTGAAATCAAGTTGTAGGGATGGGGTCGGACTGGTGTGTACAATGAACGGATCTCCGGTACACTGAAATCAAGTTTGTAGGGATGGGGTCGGACTGGTGTGTACAATGAACGGATCTCCGGTACACTGAAATCAAGTTGTAGGGATGGGGTCGGACTGGTGTGTACAATGAACGGATCTCCGGTACACTGAAATCAAGTTGTAGGGATGGGGTCGGACTGGTGTGTACAATGAACGGATCTCCGGTACACTGAAATCAAGTTGTAGGGATGGGGTCGGACTGGTGTGTACAATGAACGGGATCTCCGGTACACTGAAATCAAGTTGTAGGGATGGGGTCGGACTGGTGTGTACAATGAACGGATCTCCGGTACACTGAAATCAAGTTGTAGGGATGGGGTCGGACTGGTGTGTACAATGAACGGATCTCCGGTACACTGAAATCAAGTTGTAGGGATGGGGTCGGACTGGTGTGTAGAGAACTTCATCACTGTTAAAACTCAAGTGCTTTGAAGATTGTTGTGTGTGGTTGGGGTGGGGAAGTGCACGGAGGTATCCTCACTTGCTACCGAACTCATGGCGCTCTTAGTGAAGATTATTGTTGAAGGGTTGGGTTTTAGGGATTGAACTCTAGTGTCTGGCGAAGATTCTTGGAAGGGGGGTTAACTCAAGACAGGCTCCGTTCGTATCTAAATATATGACTCTCTGATCCGCAGGCAAGCGCTTAGCCGATATACCACATTGGCTTCCTGAAATGTTATTGTCAATTAAAAATCGCCTTTGGTCCGTCAGGAATATAGTTCTGATTTTATAACTTTATAGATCGATAGACATTTTACAGATGATGTGGTCACATTCACACCTACCGAGCCGATGTCGCTTCGATATGGATTTGAACCCCATACCATCAGATCGGCAGGCGAGCGTTAAGACACTATGCTACCGTGAATTCCACTTCGTTCATGACCATAGCCTAATATGCAGTGACGAAGAAAACAAATAAAATCATTTAAATACAATATCTGTCGTGCAATTAAAGAGCGGAAAGTCCATGACAGTAACCTTGAAGTTATGCAAATGACCAAAGCCATTTAACATTAAAATATATAAAACCAAAGCAAAACAAGCTCAGTGGATGAAAATCAATTGACGCTCAACCCAACTAGGACATCATACAGAGCGATAAACACCCGGTGACATAAAATGTGACCATTCCGATAAGGATCACCCGGGGATAGGTTCCAGAAACTCTATTCAACCGTTAGGTTATTTTAGGGCCCCCGGTCACAGCGCAGTTGGGGCTTAAAAACAGCAAAAAACAGCACACAGAATTGGAATGGTTTTTCTTGATGTGGATAAAACTGAAAATCAGTGTTACACGCTCACTTAAACGATGACTTCCCAGACAAATAGCAAGACTTTCAAAGGCAAATGAAGGAACTTACCAACTGCCATCAAAAAAGCAAAGGATCTTTAGTCACGCCTCGAGGCGTATTGGACATTCGGTGCTTGGGTTAGGTTCATGTTTATTTATATCTTTTAGCACGCGATGTGTTTTGTGGTCAATATCACACCGACAGTCTTTACTTTTCTGGTACATATTTATAATTGGGTTTACAGGGTTAATTCTGAAAATCTATCTTTATGGGAGTTTATACCCATGACCATCTTGCCGACAGAGAAGCCTTCTAGTCACGGTTGGGCCAAGACTCCCATAGTCAGGCCTAAGAGCACCATGTTAACAAACAAACAAATCCAAACACACACAAAATGAAAATATATAAATTGATAGTAATGAGACACAACAGCTCAGGCGGCGTGTCGTCTGCTTATATTGTTAGTCTTTACTGAAAAATATTTTTTTTTGTAATCTGCCAAGCGCGCGCGCACACGCACACAATCACATGCATAAATACTCTCCCACACACAATTATCTGTTAAAAGACTTGAACGTGTGCTTCTTATGGTAGCACATGATAGTGGTTAATTGAGTAAGGTTCTTCGCGTTACGAGTTCGAGGCACTCAGATCCCCTTCCAAAACCAGACAATTTGAGCTACAGTCTAAACCAAGAAGGACGAAGTGGGTGAAAAAGTGCAAGATAAGAAAGATGGAAGAGAAAGAAGAGGGAAAGAAGTGGACGAAGGGCGAGATGGGGGAGTGAGAATGAGAAAATTTGACGAAAAAAAAAAAAGCTGATTTGGTGTCTCAGGCATCACCTGTCACCGACCAGCCTTGAACTTTGACCTATGAACCTGTCAACATTTTTTCAAGAGAACTTTAGCCATTCTCTTATCGGCGGCCACACAGAAACAATCTTGTAACTTGACCAAGCAACTCTATGAACATGTCCGACCTCAATCTGACTGCTGTTCTCTATGAACAAGATGATTTGCGGATGGTAAGTTCCTTTCTTAAATAACGTCAACTTTCATCAAGCTTTACTAGTCCCATCACCCACCACGTTAGTTATATATAGTTATAGTACTGTTGACAACTTGAAAAAAAAAAAAATCAACTATCTGTATTTCTATTTAGAGCAGAAGAGCTGACATAGTATACAAATATAATTAGAACAAATTTCATTACGCATAACTCAAGACTATATGACCACGTCTACATTAATCTGAGTTCATAAAGTAACGTTGGATAGCATTTATTTATTATGTCAAAGAGCAGTATACATTGTAAGTAGCATAAAAGAAACAAAACGCAAAACGTAGAATTTCTAACTTGCAGATCTCAGACGCGCGTCCCACAGTATCCCACGCTTAACCGCAAGGTTAAATTCCGTCCTTCACATGAATTCCTGACAGTTAAAACAATAGTAACTTTTGTATTAACTATGTTAACTGGACGGGAAACAAACTACATTGGGTTTTTTTCTTTCTGGGAAGCAGTTTGATTAATTTTGTTTACCTATTTTTTTTTACTTATCCCTATCAACATCCTAGCACATCGGCCTGTACCATTGGTGCTCCATCCTCTGATGCGGCAGCCATCTCAGTATTTCCATGCTCATTGTACCCAATAGGAGTTGACTGGTATCTCTTTTTTTGCTGTGCAACCAGTTTCTACATGGTTATCCATGTTTAATACCTATTTCAATAGGTGGTTCATTATTTCTTACTCCTTTGTCTCAACATTTTTGGTATGCAGCTCGTTCAAACTTTCCTACGAATAACGGCCACATATTATGGCGGCCACACACAAAAAACACCCTGACAGGGCCTCAATCATGTAAATTACGGACTTCTTTCTGGTGAATATACCACGGCAAAAGTAGGAGAAATTTCCGGCGATGATGTCGCGAAACGCAACAAACCGCCGAGTTTAACTTGCCATAGAGAGTTTCCCCCCGCACCTTTGCACGCGACCCAACTAGATTGCTGGGACTCAGGAGCAGCAGCTACCGCATTTAGTACAGCTTCCTCATTTGATTTGCTTGTGAGTCCCAGCCAACTAGTTTAGCCCCCCTCCGCACGTAGCAGCACGGGGGATACTCTCGGCGATGGCAGTATGTTCGCCAGAGAAAAGTCCGCAATTTACATGTGGTTGGGCCCAGTCAGGGTGGGTTTTTTTGCCGCCATAATAAGTGGCCAATATTTGGAGGATAGCCCTCATTCAGTTTGTCTGCCCTGTTCATAATTCTTCCTCCTCTGCCTAATGCAGACACAGCCAATCTGTCAACTCTTTTATTTGCTTTCTCCCTGGTGTATCATGATGTATGCAGCCAATAAAGTTTCTTGAGGTGAGACTTCTGGATGCTTTCAATCCATTCTAGTAAGGTTTTGCCAGTTTGGATCTTCTCAAGCATGCTCATTAAATCTATTACTATCAGTATCAATAAGTGAGTTGTTTTCTGTTCCAGCAGACATCTGCAAATATTTCAGATCTTCATCATTAGAAAAATACAAATGGTTTTAGCATTACAAAAATTAAATTAAGAAATTTGTCAAATGCAGAGAAAACCAGTGCCAGACATGGACCCTTACTAAAACTAATGAGCGGAAGATCGTATCAACAGAGATGAAATGCCCCAGGAGAGCTGCTGATGTGACAAGAACAGGTAAAATCAGGAATCAAGAAATTAGAAGACTAGGACTGAATCCAGTCATGCAGTTCATTAAAGAACAACAAATGAGATGATTTGGCTACCTGATGAGAATGTCCTGGTACCAGCTGCCACAGAGAGCACGCTGAAGAAATATAATAAACACAGAGCAACGAGAAGACCATGCAAGAGATGGAGCGACATCATCAGGAGCAACCTAACAGAAATGAACACCAACTTGTACAATGCATTAGAAAAAGCGCACAAACGATCCTTAAAACTCTCCCTCCTGCAACACCTCCCAAAGGTAAATGGTGGAAGAGAAAAAAGAAGTAGAAGAGAAAATTATAGGAAGGAAAAGCAGAGGAAGACAGAAAGATGCATGTAGACAACTTAATCAATTAAAAGACTAAGTTCCCATTAAAATCACCCTTTACGCTTGGTTTCAGATAGAAAGCATAGCAATAAAAATCATCTCTATGCCATCTAAGACTTCTGTAAATGTTTTATTTTTAACAACCCCAAATTTATTAAGAAGATCTTTTCTCCAAATACTGCAAAATACCTTTTCTGGATGATTCAATCAAGTTTAATACATTTGCCTAATTTTATATAAAACAATTTTAGCATATTTTGCTGCTCATTTATGGAGCTATCTTCCACTCGATCTGAAAAATATGCAGAGTTCCTATTCACTTAACCGCATACTATTTTCAAATCATGCTTACCATTAGTTAAATGTGGTAAGTGATCCATAATGCATTATCAGTCCATAGCTAGAAAAGGTGTGTATTATATGTACGTCTGTGTGAAGTGTATGTATAAGTTTTTGTATGCTTAAGGGTGTTAATGTGCCTATGAGTTTGTATATGTAGTTGTGTATGTGTAAGGGTGTTCATGTGCCTATGAGTCTGTGTATGTATTGTATGTACTGGCATTTTTGTAGGTATGGGCATTTGTGTATATGGGGACATTTGTGTATGTATGGGCATTTATGTATGTGTGATTGTTCGTATATGGATATATTTGAGTGTTTATGTATGAGTGAGAATGTATGTATGTATGAGTGAGAGTGTATTTTTGTATGTATGTATTATGTGAGAGTATATGTATGAGTAAGAGTGTATGTATGTATGAGTCAGAGTGTATGTATGTATGTGAGAGTGTATGTATGAGTGAGAGTGTATGTATGTATGTATGAGTGTATGTATGTATGAGTGAGAGTGTATCTATGTATGAGTGAGAGTGTATCTATGTATGAGTGAGAGTGTATCTGTGTATGAGTGAGAGTGTATCTATGTATGTATGAGTAAAAGTGTATGTATGTCTGTATGTATGAGTGAGAGTGTATGTATGAGTGAGAGTGTATGTATGAGTGAGAGTGTATGTATGTATGAGTCAGAGTGTATGTATGTATGTGAGAGTGTATGTATGAGTGAGAGTGTATGTATGTATGAGTGTATGTATGTATGAGTGTATGTATGTATGAGTGTATGTATGTATGAGTGAGAGTGTATCTATGTATGAGTGAGAGTGTATCTATGTATGAGTGAGAGTGTATCTATGTATGTATGAGTAAAAGTGTATGTATGTCTGTATGTATGAGTGAGAGTGTATGCATGTGTGTATGTATGAGTGAGAGTGTATGTATGTATGAGTGAGTGTATGTGTGTGTGAGTGAGTGTATGTGTGTGTGTATGTATGTGAGTGATAGTGTATGTATGAGTTAGAGTGTATGTATGAGTTAGAGTGTATGTATGAGTGAGAGTGTATGTATGTATGAGTGAGAGTGTATCTATGTATGAGTGAGAGTGTATCTATGTATGAGAGAGAGTGTATCTATATATGTATGAGTGAAAGTGTATGTATGTCTGTATGTATGAGTGAGAGTGTATGCATGTGTGTATGTGAGAGTGTATGCATGTGTGTATGTATGAGTGAGAGTGTATGTGAGTGTGTATGTATGTATGAGTGAGAGTGTATGCATGTGTGTGTGTATGAGTGAGAGTGTATGTGTGTGTGTATGTATGTGAGTGAGAGTGTATGTGTGTGTGTGTATGTATGTGAGTGAGAGTGTATGTATGTATGAGTGAGAGTGTACGTGAGTGAGTGAGAATGTATGTGAGTGAGTGAGAGTATATGTATGAATGAGAGTTATGTATAGATGTATGTATAAGTGATTTGTGTTTGTGTGTACATACTTGTGTTTTAGTTAGTATGTGTGAGTGAGTGAATGCCCATACATTTTAACATCCATGCTTTTGTGCTTTTTCTTGATACATATTGCTATATGAACATAACATGCTTTATTGATAATAATCCAACTGCTGTGTGATAGATGGGTGTTTGAAAGAGGCCGAATGTAAGACGGACATGCATGCCCAATTTATGCTCCTTGAAAAAAGTTTGTTCATTCGATCATTTCAAACTTCAAGGAAATTATCAGATGGCAGAGAGTATTTTAACAGCAGAGCCTAGAGATTTATTTTATAATAAATTTTGCAGAAATAAGGCTTACTTTAATGCACAAAGCTGTTCTGTTTGTTCATAGTAAACTAGTCACTTTCTATACTTGTTCATGTTTATTATGACGTAAATATGAACTAGTAGTGGAAAGAAACTTTCTAGTCAGTTGCATGTCATTTACAGGACTTTGCAGAACTAGCCCCACCATTTTTGGCTGTTTGGTTTTACTTGACAGTTTAATGTTCAGTAGTTTGCCATTTCTTTCTTAATGGTTGGTGCTTCATACCAATGTCCAAATCAGTGCAGAGTGATCTGCCACCAGATCTTCTGCAGCTGGAATTGAACCATGCATTTTGGAATTACAAAGTGCATTCACAGTGCTTGAGAGTAGGCAGGCTAGTAATTATCTTAAATTAAAGGTTTGACTGACACCCTATTACTTTCCTCCTTAGGAGGAGCGGCCGATTCCAGAACCTGGTCCTGGAGGTAAGTGGGAATACAAGGAATACTTATTTGCATCTTATTCTTCTTTAGCATTCTGAGCCCTTGAGGTTCATTGGTGCAAATATCACCTACCTCAATCGTCTCTGTGATTGGCCTTCTCTTTCCAGTTGATGACTATAAGTGTTTGTAGGTCTGCATGTAACATTATCTTTCCATTGATTTCTTGGTCTGCCCTATTGTCTACTCTTTCAGCTCTTTTGTATACAGAGTTTTTATCCCTCCGTTATCTTCCATTCTCTATATAAATGCCCCAGTTGTGGCAGTCTACTAGTTTTCATGATACTAGTAATTAGTAGTGATTTAAACAGATTATGAATTTCATTGTTGCTTTCTCACTCTCTGTTCTGCACTGTTTGAGTCTTTGATATGTCCAAAAATGTGTCTTAAGTCTCTGTATCAGAAGTGTGTAAAAAGGTTTTTTTGTTTTTTTTAAAACTGTACTCAAGGTTTCAGAGCCATCAGTGAAGCAAAGCTGGTCTGACCTGTGTTTTATATATTGTGATCTTTGTGTTACGAAATAGATCATTTGTTTTTAGCAAATGTTGCAGGTTTTTCCAGACTATTCTAAATTATTTTTCTTCTCTTAGTATGTTGAAGTTTGTACCCAAGTATTTGTATGTTTCTGCAATTTTTATTTTATATTATTTGTATGTGGCCGGAGTTTGTATCATCTCATTCTCTTGTTATTACCATTTATTCTGTTTAGTCTTAATTGATAAGTAGTCCCGAGCGCGTGCCTGCCTCACAGTCAAGACAGACACCCAACATCCATTATATAGTAAAATCAAGAAGATGAAAGGCAGCGGGTTAAAAAGAGGCAAATCCTGGATGGTTCAAGCCAAGGACATTATTTTACAGGTATGTTCACTTGAGGACATAGAACCCGGCGACAGAAAATGCAGACAACAGAGTCGGGCTGCTGTGGAAGCAGAAGGTCAAGCCTTGATTTTCAAGAACGCTCTTGAGGGTGATGCTGTCATTTACACAGATGGCTTTTTAATCCGCCACGTTAAAAGCTCGTAAGCTTTCAAGGCTCTGTTTGGAGGGAGAGTTGTGAAGACAGATTTAGGAGCTTTTTGCTGTAACTAACAGTAGTCTGACTATGGAGGTCATGGCTGTGACTAAAGTAGTAACATGGCTAGAGACACAGACTTTCACTGGAGCATGCTTTCTCAGTGACTCGATGAGTATGCTCAGAAAGATAAAGGCTGGGTCCGAAGGCAGTGGTTGGTGGCTCTACAGAATTCATGGCTGACGAGGATTAGTTTCATTTTTGTGCCAGGGCAAGTGGGCGTACAAGGAAATGAACAAGCTGATAGGCTTGCAGGTAATGCTACTGTGAAAGCTGGACAAGCCATAGACCATGCTGATATACTGAATGCTCTAAGAGAGTTAGAACGTTTGCATGAACTGAGAACTGTGAATCTGCAGCCATGGTCAGACTGCAAGAACATGTTAAACGGGGTGTCGCCAAACAAGAACACTACGCGGGTAGCCAAAGAAGAAGAATAAACCAACACAGAACTGGTGTCGTTTGCCGCTACACGCTGCGGGATTTACTGAGGAGGAGATCCGAGCACTTATGTACTGAATGGTTCGATGTGCAATGAGTATAATCTGTCGACTAACTAACTAAGTAGTCACACTTACTGAGCTACTTCCTTTGAGTAAATATTTATTCACGTATTTTCTATAGTTAATGTTTTATTTATTAGTATGTCATTCAGATAGTTGCATAGTCTGTTATCAAAATAATATATATATATTTTTTCTTTCTGTGGATCATTATTGTGGCATAGTAAGCTGTTGGTTTTGTTGTGTAAATAATTTAAGCTTGGTTATTTGTTTACATTTTGTATTCTCATTCTCAGTTAATTGTGTTATTATCTTCTGGTAGGATTTTTAGGACTAAATTGTCCTTTTAAAATGTTACTTTTCTAGAGGTTCAGCTGAAGATGCAGCAAGTAGGAATCTGTGGGTCTGATGTTCATTACTGGACTCATGGACGCATTGGTGACTTCATTGTCAAAGCACCAATGGTTTTGGGACATGAGGCAAGTGCTGTGGTTAGCAAACTTGGACCAGGTGTTACAAGCCTTAAAGTTGGTAAGAATATTGTAAAAGATCTTCTTTTCGTCACTGAAATGCTTAAATTTGTTATAGGTAAAAAGTATTGTTAATTGTTTCGACTAACAGGTTGTAAGTCTAATTTATATTTTTCAGTGTATTTTCATTTAAATAGATTATAAACATTGTACATAAAACATACACATTTAATCTGCAGTGCTCAGTTCAGGTACCTTTTTTTTTATCCTATCAAAGTATTTTTTCATTATTTACTATTTTTAATACATTTTTCATTGGGTGGTCATAAGTGTGGTGTAATCATTTTAAATATTAATGTCCTGTTCAACCCATCTCAGTCACATTTATAATATATATATATATATCTTTTTCTGTTTGAATATTAATGCTTATAAAATACTTTTGGGTTTTTCCTGTGTGGGTTTCTGGGTCTAAATAATAGACCCACTGCCCCCCTAACAAGAATGTTGTAAGTTGAAGAGACAGTGTATGCCTACATTCCATGATACAGAACTGACCAACATTTCTCTAGGTCCTGTCTCTCTTTCTCTCTTTTCCTCCAACTTTCCAGTAGTTCTGATGTATTTCAATTTTCACTTTCTCATGATGTGCCGTTTTCATGTAAGTAAAGGACCCCTTTACATCATTGGCGCATTGGGTATATGATGCTAGACCCATATTTGTATAGACCACTCAGAACTCAATGGGTGTTGTGGTCACCATCGCTGGCCAGCTTTATTCCTAGGACATGACCTGGTAACCATTTTCACAATGGGTCAGCCTTGGAGTCAAGGTCAATTTAAAAAAAGAATCTGACTCAACGCAGATTCTAACTCTAAATTAGACCTTTGGGCTGGCTGTTTAGTGTCCAGCTACTATGCTATTGTGGCTTTCCTGTTGTTGTTGGTTTTGTGTGTGTGTGTATGTGTGTTGCTAATAATCTGTCTGTTCTCTTTAAAGTTAATTCTCTTCAAGTTATTTTAATTTTGTTATTTATCTTTCCGTGTTGTTCATGATTCTTGTAAAAAAAAATGTCTGCAGTGTTCACATAATTTCTCACTGTTTACTGATTATTCCATACACCATGGTTAACAAACTATGGTTCTTCATAACTCTTTCCTACCTCACTGAATAATAGATATTTCAAAAAATATTTATCATCCTGTGAAATGCACCTTAGATACACCCAGTTGCTTTCTTATTGTAGATTTCTTTTATTGCTTGCTTGTCAGTGCATTTATCACTTTAGGTACACTAAATAGTACAGTACAGTACAGTGTATTTTGAAAGAGAACCAGCACTGAATCTGAATGGAAATTATGAAATATTTAACAATGTTACTGCTTGATATATCCATTTTTGTGTTAGAATCACAATTAATTTATTGCAAATTGATGCAACTACAAGTTAAAGCACTAATCTCTTTAAATTATTCTGTAAATATAAAATGTATGTTTGTAATTTATTTAAAACAACCTCAAGAATTTGTTCGGTGCATTTGGATTCATATGGACATCATTTTTTTTTTCATTATTATCACAGGAGACAGAGTTGCCATTGAGCCAGGTGTTCCATGCCGGGTATGCAATTACTGCAAAACAGGAAGATACAATTTGTGCCTGGAAATGAAGTTCTGTGCTACTCCCCCATATGATGGAAATCTGGCTCGCTATTATGTCCATGCTGCTGATTTTTGCTTCAAGTGAGATACTGGAAGCGTATTTAATCCTGACAGCTAATAAGTTTTTGTAGTCACTAATTTATGCATGCCATTTTTTTAAAGTGTGTTCTGATTTAGTTATATATTGAATGTCCATGAAAAATATGATGTTTGTGGTGGGTTAAAACAAATTAATTGAAATTGTGTAACATTACTGACAGATCAAAGTAAAATGTCCATTACAGTTAAATTTAAGGTAATCGGGTAATCGCAGTTCCAACTTTATAGCACATGGGTCACCCTGTAGTTGTTCTGGTCCTGTGCCAATGAAAACCACACAAAATGTAAGTCACTGTCATTTGTAGGAACAAACTGAGGTGTTTTATTAATATCCTACCCCAGATGACGTCACAGAACAGTCCCAACATTTTAGAGGGTGGTAAGACTGGGTTTCCTGGCTTTCTGATGCTTTTAACGACTCCAAAACATCTAGAACTGGCCTTAACCCAACCTGCCTACGTCCCACGAGAGAGTGCAGCCTAGGTCCCACAACTGCATGTAGCCCAGGTTCCACGACTGCATGCAGCCTATCGACCAACCCCTGGCATACACATATATATCAAATATATCTATGCATAAGGCAGAAGTGCCAATACAAACAGTCCAGGACTAGAAATGGAATTAATTGCTCAACAGAAGCAGCGATTACAACAGATCAGTAGTTTCAAACGCAATTAATAGCATAAGGTATCTGATTAGGCGGTTCACAACACAAACCACAGTGGGTACAGTTGAAAATCATTCCAAGGAAAATTCACATCTCAGTGTCACACTCAGCTCAGTAGCTGGGCAAGGTAACCATATCCTTTCAGTCTGCATTCGAAGGAAAATCTGTGTCTGTTTATTTACAGCGGACCAACATCATGGCACACGGGTAGTAACCCATAAGTGCTGCGTTCTTCTAACTCAAGCCTGAGTCCGAAGCTCAGCACAGTGCACTGGCTCTGTAGCTCCAGCAAGGATCCTGAAATATTTTAGGTAGATATTTCACTCCAAGTTTTGTCCAGGCAGCGCCGTTAAGCTACTTTTGTCAATTTCCAACTGCCAAGTGATTTTTTTTATGTGTGCAACACTGCACACGGGTGTCTGATCTCATTACCCATAGACCAGGGGGAATTATTAGAAGTCCAAGTCCACATGAAAAAAAAACCCAGCCCTTACTGGGGATTGAACCTGAAAGCACTCGAGACAGACACTATGCCTCGAGACCACGCAGCTCCCTTGAATGGTTAACCATTGTATTTACTACGTGCTTGTTAAGGAGCCGTGGATCTTTTCTGGTTTCCCCCAAAATTTGGACCCCAAAACACACACAAGGAATATTAACTGAAGTTGAAAGACTACCAAATCAGACACCCCCCCCCCCCCCCCCCCCCCCCTCCCCACCCTTTTCCAAAAAAAAGATGAATATATGGACAAAAATTGCCTCCTGAGAATTATGTATTTATATCATTTTATTAAAACTAGTTAATGATGTAACAAATTATACAGCAAATATACCCTTTAGTGATTGGAGGTCATAAGCATGTCCTCAGGAGATGAACGATGTAGGGAATCTGTGGCAGCTGCAGTTACCTCCTACTTACAGCTCGATTCACAGAGCCAGTTTATCTTCAATTAACAGAGCCATTTCATCTGTTTGTTTAAACTGCTGAGCAAAGAAAGCTATAATAAAAGAAGAGTTAACTACAGTTAAAATTGTCGAAGAGAGAGAATCAAGAATGAAGAAATTAGAAGAAGACCAGGACTGAAACCAGTCATACGATTCATTAAAGAACAACAAATGAGATGATTTGGCCGCCTGATAAGAATGTCCTGGTACCAACTGCCACACTGAAGAAATATAATGAACACAGAGCAAGTGGAATACCACGCAATATATGGAGTGACATCATCAAGAGCAGCAACTTGTACAATGCATTGGGAAAAGTGCACAAACGATCCTTACATCTCTCCCAAACACCTCGCTGAGGTAAATGATGGAAGAGAAGAAACGAAGAAATTGTAGACTCACATGTTGCTGAAAACCAGAAATAAATTATTTCCATTACAGCAATTTTAAAATTTAGTAATAAAGAAATTAAAAGAGAGTGATAATTTCCTAATTTCTAGACTTCCTGACCATGTCTCATTTGAGGAAGGAGCCTTGCTTGAGCCCCTATCAGTGGGAGTTCATGCCACAAACAGAGCAGGTGTTGGATTAGGACACACGGTCTTAGTGTGTGGAGCAGGTAATTGTCTTTATTTGTGTGTCCATAAATTGCTCTGGTGTAACCAGAAAGCTAAAAAAAACATAACTTGTGTGCAGTAAGCCGCCAGTTGTGTTGGTCTTGCACATCCAGCTGGTTTCTGAAACTGTCGAAGGAAAGGAAAGCACTGCATCACTGGCCTAAGTAGCTCAATAGTGAATCATGAGAAAAGTCTGTAAACCAACCACATTATGGAATATTTAAGTTCTTTTCAGGGCTGAAATGATCTCGGTGCCATTGTAAAGCAACACCTTCTGTCCCTGCTTATTCCTATGAGTAACATTCAGTACATGTTATTTTGTGCATCTGTGCCATTGTAAAGCAACACCTTCTGTCCCTGCTTATTCCTATGAGTAACATTCAGTACATGTTATTTTGTGCATCTGTTCACCTTCTGTCCCTGCTTATTCCTATGAGTAACATTCAGTACATGTTATTTTGTGCATCTGTGCCATTGTAAAGCAACACCTTCTGTCCCTGCTTATTCCTATGAGTAACATTCAGTGCATGTTATTTTGTGCATCTGTGCCATTGTAAAGCAACACCTTCTGTCCCTGCTTATTTCTATGAGTAACATACAGTGCATGTTATTTATGTGTATCAGTGCCATTGTTTCATACTATAAAGTTAAAATTCACAGTGTTCCAAGTATTCATCAACTAGAATGCCACTATACGATATGAAAATTATCACAGCATTGTATATATTACTATTTAGACTTATTTCATTGCAGCTATGTAAACAAAAGTTGTACAGCCACCCCCACCCCTTTTACCACACACGCATGTACGTTCTGATAATTATGAGCATATGATCTGGCAAAATTTTAATGCTGCCCAGTGTGTCATGAAGTAACCCGCCATTTTGTTTAACTAGTAAAAGAAATATCCTTACATATGCAGCATGGGCCAAGAGTGCACATTAATACTATTTCAAACTCTGAAAAGTGCTCTAGAGATAATTATATTAGGATAAGTGTTTATCTCGTGCATTAGGTGGTGTTTACTATTAAAAACTGATGTGGAAAAGATTTAAGATGAAGCTAGTGTGGGATTTTAATTTTTCTTTCATAATAATAAACTTATTGTCAAAGTCAGAGAAACAGATACGCAGCGACCAATGTCCAGCTATGAGGATGATGTGGATGTTGATAAACATTGATACTTAAAATTATTTAATCATTTCAGTATCTAAACAGCACTTTCCTGAGTTTGAAACAAAATTAATATTCATTCTTGGCTCTATTTTGCATATGTAATACCCCAACTTTCACTAGCCCAAAAAATAAAACATTTAAAATAAACAGCTAGTAGCATTAGCTATGTGCTGTGCAAACAGGTCATTATAGGCCAGTCAGAAAAGTGACACTTACGGGGAATTGGGCCCAACCAGATGTGTCAATTTTGCAGCTTCTAGGAGATGAAAAGTAAACTCTTCCTTGTAGCTCTCTAGAACTGTCTGTCTTAGCATGTTTTTTAATTCTCATATTGTATTAAGTAGGGCTGTACCGAATATTCGCTTCGGGGCCGAATAGTGGACCTGTTGACTATTCGGTATTCTGCCGAATAGTTGCGGTCGGGCCGAATACGAATAGTAGTTACCTTACACCCGCTTCTGCATTCACGGCCTTAATACTGACAACATGGAACGATTGGTTTTGTAGAAAGCTAATGCAGCTTTCCTGCATTAACTAAGCTGTCAGTGATAATTTCCAAATTAAGTTATTTGTTATAATACTTAGGATTCTTTCATTCCTAGTTATTAATTACCACAGACTGACTGAAGGATGCAAAACATAAAATGGACATGAAAAGAATATAAACTCCGGCTTCATCCAGGTCGATAATATGAAAATCAAACAAACGGAAACATATAAGTACTTGGGTGCAAACTTCAACTGCTCCAGCATGCTGAGAAAAGAAATACAATCTAGAATACAATCTAGAAATAAAGTATACTATGCCCTTCAACATCTGTTTTAGTCAAAGTTTCTGTCTCACAACACCAAGATCAAAATATTTAAACTTTGATAAGACCAGTCGTTTTGTATGGCTCTGAAACTTGAAGCAGAAATAAAAGAGATGAGGCTAAATTACAGGTTTTCGAAAACAGTCTTACGACAAATCTTTGGACCCATCAAAGATGCTAACAGCGGGGAATGGAGAGTGAGAAGCAACAACGTAACACATAATCTGTTTAAATCACCTTTGATCACTGGCATCATGAGAGCCTAAAATGGTTGTGGCATATTAAAAGAATGTAAGATGACAGGGAAGTAGAGCTGTATACACCTGAGAGAGGAATGGGCGTAGACCACGAGACAGACAAAAAAGAAGATCAAGAGATAATGTCCATCCAGACCTGCAAACAACTGGTGTCACTAATTGTGGAAAGAAGGCCAGCCAGAGAGATGAATGGAGACGAGTGATATCTGCAGCAGTAAACAAGGGCTCAGAATGCTAAAGAAGAAGATGATACATGCTGCAGGAGATCACAGATTGTGGTGGGGCATAATCGCACACGCCAATCGGCAAGGTGCCTGATGATGATGATACACTATTCGTATTCGGCCGAAAAGTTGGTCGCACTATTCGTATTCGGCCGGATAGTGAAAATCACTATTCGGTACAGCCCTAGTATTACGGGCAGGCCTTTGGAGTTCACATTTCTTGCCATATGATAAATAGTGTTCAATATTTTGTATTAAGATACTGAACATGTATTGGTCCGATACTCCACATCTAATGTGACCAGATGATCTGACAGGCATTCTACACCAGGGCTGTTCAACTAATTTACTCAGAGGCCAAAATATTGTAACTGGAGATCATCACGGGCCAGAGGACAGAACCCCATCATAGAAGGATCATTATACAATACAAATGGCAATGATCCTAGTACCACTTGCTAGGCCTCCATGGGCCAGATTTGACACACAGGCCACCAGTTGAAAAGCCTTGCTTTGTACTGACTGCAAACGCACGACGGATGTTTAATCAAACTGCCACAGAATCGCCAGAATTGGAACTTTTCGCTGGTTGCTGTAGATGATGACTGAGTATGAATGGGATTGTCACAAGTGCTCTCATGTCAGTTCTTAATATAAATCATGACAAAAACACTTTTAAATTGTTCCTTTAGTGTCAGACAGTTAATTTGTTAAGTTCTCTTCAACCTAGAAAATGTTCAATGTTACTCATTATTTATGCAGGTCCCATTGGCTTAGTCAATATTTTGACTGCCAAAGCTAAAGGAGCTTCTACTGTCATCGTCACAGGTAATTTTATGTTCTCACTTCAGTTGTGAAAAAGTTGCCATTTTATATTGCTAGAGATATGGTTGCTTTGGTTAATGCAAAGATAAAATTCAAAAATGAAGCAGCTTTTCCAGTAGTAGACAAAACTACAGATTGACTTAAGAAATAAGGTGTGGACAGTCAATATTATTTGTATAGTTTTTGGTAGGGTCGGGTATGTTATTGAGTTGGTTTGGAAAGGGGGGGGGGAAGCTTAAAATACCTTGTAATAACTCACATACTTGATGGAAAAGTCAAGAGACGACTAAAAAAGATTTTTAAAAACTTGTAGCTGCGTAGCAAAACCCCAGACCTGATCTCAGATTGGTAATCATTTAAGATGACAAACCATCATTGTCTACGCTTATTGGCTTGGCATCTGTTGATAATGATGTTCTAAAATGCTTTTAGGAATTGCTGTACTAGATTTTAATAGTCTGAGATTCTCACTCTGGTGAGTTCTAGGATAAGGAGAGGGGGTGGAGGGTATACCCACCGTCTCTTAACAAGCATATCATTACATGTGATCTCCCCATGTGGGTTCTGGGGCCTCATTGTGGAGGAAGTTAAAAAGAATATATCCACTGCCTCCCTAACAAGCATGCTGTATGTAAAATCGACTAATTATAGCGGTTTCCTTTGAAGTCAGAATGCATCTGCCTGGGAGGCAAGGAACCAATAGTGCATGGCGCCCGCCTCGAGTGCTGGAGGTCCCGGTGAAGGCTGGGATTTTTTATCATGGACTTCTAGTAATTTCCCCTGGTCTCTGAGTAGTAAGATCGGATGCAATGTTTGTTGTTGCACATGTAAAAAATCCCTTGGCAGTTGGAAATCGAAAATAGTCTACAGGCGCTGCCTGGGCAAAATTTGGAGTTAAAAATCTACCCAAAGAATTTCGGGATCCTCGTCGGTGCTACAGAGTTTGTGCACTGCGCTGAGATTCTTCGAACTCAAGTTTGAGTTAGAACTGAGCACTTGTGGGTTATACTACCCGTGTGCCATGATGTTGATCCGTTGTTCAAACTAATCAATCAGTCTGCTTACAAATAGGCCATATCTGTAAAATGGATGCGCACACAAAACTCAGGCACTGGAACAAAACCAAAGTCTACAAGTGGACAAACAGCCAGAACTTTCCGACTGAGTTTACAACCAGTGAACATGAAGAAGAAGATTACAGAAGACATGTTAGGTTAGTTGTATGTTGAAATCGTGTTGGGGTCAAAAGGTGAAGATGTTGCAGCCTAGTTGTAAATAAGAAAATGGCAACAACTTTTTTTTTTAACCTAAATGCAGAAAAAGAAATATAGTTCTACTAACCAGATATGGATTCTCTTGGTCATGTATTGTTGACATTTTATGTCAGAAATGTTTTTTCTCCCATTTATATTGTTACTTAACAAAGATTAATTGTAATTATAATTTTAAGTAACATATTTCTAAAATTACTTACTAAGTCGCTCTTCTTCTACCTTGCGGTGTAGAGGTTTTAATTTCTAAAATTACATAATTTATAATTTTTTGTTTAGACATTGATGAAGCAAGACTGAAAGTAGCCAAAGAGATTGGTGCTGACCATGTGGTGAAAGTAAGCAGTAGAGATGCACGAGTCACAGCTCAAGCTATAGAGGACGCATTGGGTGACAAAGCAGATATCAGCATAGAGTGCAGTGGTGCAGCTCCAAGTATCCAGGCAGCAATTTATGTAAGCATAAAAGTGTCCTTAGTCTTCTACTAGTTTTCTAAGTAGTCTTAATATATTATTTCATTGCCATGTTCTTGTCAGTCATGTGGTAATCTCAAAGTGTCAAATTACAGTTAAGATAAAACTTTTTTACAGCATAATTTTTATTTATAATTAGCAGACAATTAGGAAATGGTAGTTTACCATGGTAGTGTTGTTGATACATTAAATGGCAAACAGTCAGTAGGGTTGAAAAACTATGCCCTGTTGGCAAAGAAAAAGAAGTGTATTTAGCACTATCTTTTAAGGCTCACATTGGTCAGTTTCATCTAGCAAACTTGTAAATTGAGTATTCAGTTCCCTCTATGGGTTCCGGGACTCTGTTGTATGGAAAAGAAGAATAGACCCACTGCCTACACAAAAGCATGTAAAAGTCGACTAACTGGAAGCGTCCTTTGAAGTTGAAATGAACATGCCTGAAAAGCAAGGAACCAACAGGTTGCATACAAATGAGTCATATCTGAAAAAACGGAAGCACATGCAACACTCAGGTTCTGGAAAAGACTAAAGTCTAGAAGTGGATGAACAACCAGACTTTCTGCAGAAGTTTACAGCTGGTGAATGTGAAGAAGAAGAAGAAGAAAGAGAGCACTATCTGTGGTTGTTATGTTATCACATTTGGCATCACTGTACTTTGGATACTCTCATGCATGCTCAGTGCTCTAAAGCAGCAGCCACTTCAGGGTACCTCTACTGATTGTTCCTGTAAGAAGTTGATTATAATGTCTCCTGTCTTGACCTAAACAATGGCATTGATGTGTTTTGCCAAGCTTAATTGTTAACAGGTTAGCATCAGAGGTTTATCTTTATCCACTAACCTAGTCAACACTGAAAATAGTACTGAGTAAGGTAGTTAGTCTTTCTTCTTGAGCCTAGAGCAGCGCAGAGGTCATAGCTCTCCATGTCTGCCAGTTCATTGCCACCTGTTTTAGATCTTTGATGTCTATTAGGCCCATGGTTGAGCTTTCACTGATGATGGTTCTACGCAGTCTCTCTCTTAGTCTTTTCCATTTTCTTTTCCCTGCCTGTGTCCATTAAGAGCTTGATGGGAAAGTCATGTCTTATCCATTCTGAGCGCATGGCCGATCTAGTTCCAGCGTTGCTTTCTTATAAAATGCGATACATTATCTTGTTTGGTCGCTTGTCTTTTTTTGTGTATTCGATCTGAAATCTGTCCAGTGAAGATTTAGTATTCTATGACAAATGTCTAATTTTAGTGAGTTAATGAAAAACCCCTTTTTTTTTTAAATCCATCTAGGCCACAAAATCAGGAGGTGTTGTTGTGCTGGTTGGACTGGGCCAGGAAATTGTTGAGCTACCTGTTGTGAATGCTGGTGTGCGGGAGGTAGACATCAGGGGCATTTTTAGATATGCAAACTGGTAAGTAGCAAGTATGCACTGGCAGACTTTTCCAAATTTAAAACAATTAATCTTCAGTTACTATTACCAAATACAGGATCCTGTTTCACAAATTATGGGTCTTTCATATTAGGAGACAAGAGCACTTGAATAAGGCTGGGAAGATTAAGAACGTTAGAGACAGAGGAAGAAGATATATGAGTACTAGGCTGTTATAATGTCACTTGTTTGTCTTGCAGCAGACCTGGTAATAATTCTTGTGTTCCAACATCAGTTCATATAGCTGGTTTACTATGTGCTTATTCTGCCTGATATATTTTCATGACCTGTTTTCACTGTCATGTTGGTCAACCTCTGTTTCTTCTTCCAAATCAACTTCTATTATTGTTCTTGACATTTATTTAGGGGTGTTTCCTTATAATTGGAGTACGTTTGCCTGAAAGATGAGGAACTAAGTCAGCACACGGATAAGCTAGATCTGTAGAAATTGATGTGTGTGCAAAGCTCAAGATTAAACGAGATCAAATTTGAGAAGTGAATGAAAAACCATAACTTTTCACCTGGAGTTTACAGCAAGTGAACACCTTTTTTCTTCCAATGTACTGTTTAATCCTTCCCTGAAGTTTTCAAATTTTGACCAAAGTGCCGTTAGTTTCCAAGATATGATATTTATGAGCCAGCCTCTTTTTTTTCGATGTTCACACTTAGTAATGTTCATTAATAAAAATATTATAATATTTTTTCAGTTATCCGACTGCTCTGGCTATGGTGGCTTCTGGAAGGGTTAATGTGAAATCTTTAGTCACCCATCGATTCCAGTTGGAGGATTCAGTCAAAGCTTTTGAAGCAGCAAAGAGAGGCGAAGGCATCAAGATTATGATTGAATGTGGTCGTTAATACAAAAAAAGTGAAATGCACACAGTGTTTCCATCTGGGTGAAAGTGAAAATCTTTAAATAAATTCCGCTAGACTTAAATGGTTTTGTATGTAAAATAACTGTTATGAATTTTTCTTTTTGTTCTTTTCTGGTCAAGTTTGCCAGTTTAACTTTTTTCAAGTTTATTTATCTTCCTAAATACTTAAATAAATCTTATGGGCTATATCTAATTTCTTGAACCAGTTTGAAAATATCAGCTGTATCAATCTTATGGTCTATAATTTCTTAAACCAGTTTGCAATTATCAGATGTATCAATCAATCTTGTGGTCTATAATTTCTTGAACCAGTTTGAAAATATCAGCTGCATCAATCTTATGGTCTATAATTTCTTGAACCAGTTTGCAATTATCAGCCTTATCAATCTTTTGGTCTGTAATTTCTTGAATCAATTTTCAATTGTCATCTGTATCCTGAGGGAATAAAGGCTATGGTAGCTCTCCAGGCCTATCAGCCCAAAAGTCATTTCTAATCCACATTAACTCAAATTTTTGTTTTTGGCGACCTTGGCTCACAGGTCAAACAGACTAAATGGGTACCAGGTAAAGTCCTCTGAAGTAAATCCTGGCTGTATGTTGGTGACCATATCACCCACTGAGTGCTGACCGATGTTTAAAAATATGTCTGGTATCATATGCTAAATGCACCAGTGGTGATAATTGTCCTTTTTTCTTTTTTTTTTAACTTTACTATCTTGAATGATACTTTATTTTTCTATTTCCAGATGGCAATATTTGTATATTCTCAAAAATCACATTTCTGATAGTTCTTAGCTTGTCTGCTTATTGTCCCAGTCTCACATATGTATGGCTATATATAGGCCCTGTAAGCACTTTACCGCCCTTTCTTACTGCAGTTGACAACCTGTTTGGAATTATGTTTTCCATCTTACAATAGGCTATCTTTACTCCTCGTGTGGGTTCACGAGCCCCATTGTGGGGTAAACAAGAAAAGAGTTATTGCCTCTTTAACAAGCATGTCATAGGAGTCGACTAATTGGAGGCCTCCTTGAAGTCGGAGTGCATCTGCCCGAGCTGCAGGGAACTATCAACTGCACACAAATAAGCCAGTAAAACAGATGTACATGCAAATCTCTGGCACAAAGCCAAAGTCCAAATGGACAAACAACCAGGACTTCCACCTGAGCTTACAGCCGGTGAACAAAGAAGAAGAGGAAGAAGCTATCTTTACCTTGGCAATTCTTGTTCTAGTTTGTACAAGAATCTTCCATCTGATAAATGACTGTTCCAGTACATTTCTTCTTCTGTATTTACCCTCGAAAAGAAGGCTGGCACATTATGATGCGATTTACACAAGCCTGCGATATCTGTACCTTTTGGCCCAACACATCTGATTTTATCAAAATGTTAGTCACCTTTTACAACATGCTTTTTAAGGGGCCATTTACATTATGTATATGATCTTAGGAATGCTGTCTATCAATAATTTGTTGTGATGCCCTTAATGTCCCTAGTTTGTGAGCAACATTGCTTTTTAGTGGAGCATTATCTAGTGGTGGTACAAACATTTTTTTAGCTATTTTGTTATGGGCTGAATCATGGTTTGGCCTTGTACCATTTCTCATATTGAACAGCGTTCTAGAAACATAAATATTGCTCTCAAGTTTAGTGATTATAAATTAAAACTCTAATATGTTGATGCATTTTGTCTATAAAATTTGCTCACATGTGGGACCTCTTTTGCAGTATAATGTAAATTATTAAAAACATAATCAGTATTATATAAAAAAAAATGAACATTAAACAGTTAATAAAAACATTGTTCAGTGTTCGTTACTTTTCTCTTGGGCTTTTTTTTTTTTTATCTGGCTCACATTCTGTCAGTTACATATGCCTTTCTTGTCTGTCCTTGCAATACACATTTTGTTTCCCTGTTGTGCCTTTAGTTTTAAAGTGGTATTTATTAAATATGGCATAATTTACACAGGTATTTGATTTGATTAGGATAGAGCAACCCAGATGTTTTGATAGAAGTGAATGCTCAAAGACAAATTGTCACAAACATCATGTTATGAGAAGAGGGAAAATGGAACATCTTGTGACCGCTGGAAAGATTAGTGGAAAGAGAGATAGAGGAAGACAGCGGGAGAAGATTCTTGACAGTCTTTTGTCATGGCATGGAAAGGTGTCAACACATGAACTGATACACGCAGTTGCAGATTGTGAAGAGGCATGAGCGCCCATGCCAGTGGGCAAGGCACTTGATGTTGATTTGATTATTATCTTGATGTTTTTGTCAAATTAGTTTGAATGATGTTTAAAAAAAAAAGGCCAGACCATGTCTAACTTCTTAAAGGCCTTCTACTAGTGGCATTAAAATAGGTTTTATAGCATATAAAATCTTAATTCGTTAACATTTATATTTCTAGTAAAATTAGGTTATCACAGGAAAGTAGATTCTGAAACATGACATTTAACAGCCTTGTAGATGATTAATATGAATAATTTTACTGGCTAATCCTATATTGTCAGCCAACACTGACATATCTGCGTTAGGAACATTCATGCCCATATGGACTCCATTGCTCTCAGAAGTTGCAGATGAGTGATAGCTGCCTCTCCAACATGGGTGTCGTAAGAGTAGACTGATTGGGGGCTTCTCTGGAAGTAGAGGTGCATTTGTCTGAGAGACAAGGAACCTAGTCTGCATACAAATAAGCTAGATCTGTGAAACAGATATGCACACAACACTCAGCTTCTGGAACAAGGATATAAAGTCCAGAGGTGGACAAACGACCAGAACTTTCCTTACTTAGTCGCTCCTCTTCTACCTTGGGGTATAGAGGTTTGCCAGAGAGATCGTCAGACTTCTCTATAAGCAGTTTTATTTCTGGCTTTGTTCCATTCTAGTCCTCTGTCCATCAGGGACTGTCGGATGTTGTCTTCACACCAGACCCTGGGTCGCCCTGGTGGTCTGGTTTCTTTGTTCTTAGCCTGCCATGGTGGCTGATATTCTTCCATTCTGCATACATGTCCAAACCATCGTAACTGTGATTGATTCAGTCGAGTTGGTATTGTCTGGGTGCGAATTTTGTCCTATCTTGTCACTTCAACCACCTTTCTCAGATATCTCATTTCTGAGATCTGAAGCTGGCTTCTAAGGGCTGTTGTCATTTCCCATGATTCACTCCTGTAGGTCAGGACTGGTACATAGGTAGAGTGGTAAACAGCCATTTTTGTCCTCTTGCCGATTTCTTTTTTATCTAAGAAACCCTCGGTTTATGGACTGGAAAAGTCTCCCAGCTGCTGCTTTTCAAGTTGTCAGCTCTGTCTTAATGCCTCCATTTTGGTCTATTACCGCTCCAAGGTATTTGAACTGGTTGACCTGCTCCAATGTATGCTGTCACAACATGATTTAGTGTTTCTTCTCCTCTCTTGAGATCAACATGGTTTTAGTTTTGGAGATACTGACTGTCATCCCTCTCTTCTCAAGCCTTCCTTCCAGACAAGTAAGTTGGATTGAAGATGTGCCTCTTTTCTTTAGCTATCAGGGTTATGTCATCTGCAATTGCCAGCTGTGATATACAGATTGGTGTCATCTTCCAGTACCCTAATGAGTACTTCTTTGTCTTCTCCTTATAGGTCTTGATGACATCATCCATCATGAGAATGAAGAGGTAAGGTGAGTGAATATCTCCTTGTCGAACACCGCTAGTGATCTTAAATTATTCTGACTTTTGGTTTGCTGTTCTTATATAATTTTTGCAGCTTTTGTAGAAACTATGTTTTGCACTGATCATGGGTGCTTGAATGTTTTTCCCTCCCAAGCAGTCCTAGAGCTTGCTCCAGGGGACCTTATCGAATGCTTTTTCTAGACCAGAACTTTCCTCAAAAATTATTTGGCTTTTCTATCTAGCCATAAAGCCCCATTCTGATCTTTCACCTCATTGATCAATCTGTATATTCTATTCAATCATCAGGTTCTTTAGTAATCACAGCTCTGAAGTATCATCCATCCCTTTGTCTCTGTTCAGTTATTTTCCCTTTTGATAACATTCAAACTGAAAGAACATTATCACAATTTTAGGCAAATGGGGCACTAGCTCCCTATTTTTACAGCCCACTCGGAATGCAGTGGGTGATATGATCAATATCACCACAGATACCTTTCTTCATCTGCCTTCTATCCCCCAATGGAGCATAGACCCTCAACCAACTCACACCCAGTCATTCTATCCTTCACTATCAAGAAAAAAGATAAAACCGAACAAAAAGTATATTAGCAAGCTTCACAATATAACAAATACAAACAAAACGTGAACATTGCGGCTATGGAGCCTTCATCAGCACAAATCAAACAATACTACACAGATACACAAAATCACTTAGCTGGTATCTCGAAGCAGCCGGGTCGGTTGTTTCTCAGCAGAATGACTACATGTGTCGGCTGGGGGAATAAATACCCCCTGTGGAGTACCAGGGGCCATAACTAGGGGGTCAGAGATAAAAGTGTGAGGGCAGTTCAATTCCCTGGAAGCTTAAATGAAATTGTGTTGGCAATTCAGTCCGTAGGGTGTTCCCAGAGTATAAATAAAGCCATTCCCAAGAGACTTGCAGACTCTGTGGCTGGATTTAATGGCTACCTCCATGTCGAGGACATCTTGGTGATCCTGGAAATTGAAGTGCAACGGTACTGGTTTCAGAGCACCATTTTGCACATCCAAAAGACGTCTGAACCTGTCAGCCAGCCGTAGACCTGTTTCACCAATGTATTTCATGCCACATCTCTAGCAGTTGATGGCATAAATGACATTGCGGCTGGTACAACAGAATGCTACACGTATGTGGAAGGTGGCGTTAGGGAATTCTAGACTAGCCACCTGGACCACAGATAGACAGGTTCTGCATAAAAGTCTGTGGCAAGAGACTGCCGAAGTGGGGCTCAGACGCAGGACGTAACCTACTCTTGACTAGAATGTCCTTGAGGTTACGATTATGCCT